TGTCTAAAGGGCCACTCCTGCCATATCAGTCACGGATAAGGCGTTACGCTTGGATACACACACACACACACACACACACGCACACGCACACGCACACGCACACGCACACGCACACGCACACGCACACGCACCCGCACGCACGCACACATCGCTCTCGAACAGAAAGATCTGTACTTGTCTTCTACACGACCATGTCTGGACAGGATAATGCAGAGCGCTGCTCTCCTGAGGTGGCATGCAGTCATGCGAATTGTACTCTTACTGGCCTTGCTGAACTTGTTCGTGTTTCTACAACAGACTGTTTCAAGATTACACTGCTCCTGTTGCTGGAGGCCTTAGAGCTCATCGATAAGATGCTGCGCTATGACCCAGCCGCCAGAATTCTCCCAAGAGAGGCTCTCCATCAGCTCTACAATATGGTAGGTACGCGTAGGTTCCAAAGTGGAAGATGGACATGTTGAGTCAAGTCTCAAGCACGAAATCAGCAAAAGCAAGTTTGACAAAACGCGCAGCTATGGCAGTCGGGTCTAGCCTTTCCTTGAGTCAATCAACATTGTGCTCAGGTGACTCAAGGGTCGTTTCCCGCACCTGTGCCACTGTGCTCCAGCGACAGAAGAGTGGCATTGACTGCCGGGACTGCCAGGCCATGCAGCACGCGTATTTCGAAGAAGTTCGGAAGCAGGACAGGTGTGCTTTTGGCTGTGCATTGGCATCCCGTTGGGCACTGGCCTCACAGGAGTCGAACAAGTGAGTCAAGCAAAGTAACCTACACCATGACAGTGCGTTAGGATGCAAAACAACAATCCAGGTCACGACACCTCGTATTACAGGCCTTTAGTCGAACAGTGCGGGGCATTCTAGATTGGAACAGCCACGCAGTCTTGTGCGCTGCCGTGGAGTTCTGCAGAACTCGGTTTCATGCGTCATCCCTGCGTGCTCCGGGCAGAGAGATCTGTAAAACTTGATGCGGTACCATGTGCAAGGGATCCGAGCTTAGAGCACCGCTTGGTTCCCACAAGGCACATGCAGTTGGCTTGCCGCTCCTCTGACCTTGGCCCTGGCTCTCAGTGGTACACATATCTATTCCTCGAGAAATCGAAAAATCGAATTGGGCATACAAAGATCCACAAACTTCTCCTCCCCCTCCGTGCGCAGCGTGGCAATCGCTGCCCCACTATAGATGCACAGCGTGCAACACATTTGGAACAGGTGCCAAGTAGCATATGGGCAGTTTAGGGTAGCCAGCGATCGCTATGATGGAGCACTGGCAGCTTCTCTACAGCAAGCTTGTGCCCAGTTCAACTGGGTAGATGTTGAGGAACTTAAATTAAGTTACCGTAATGGGTATATCGTACATAATGGGGTTTTCCCCAATATAGTAACTTCAGCTAAGTTCCTTGACAGCTTCCCAGTTTAGCCCAGTTCAAAAGGAGGCTTGCATGTGAGCTTGGAGGTTGTCATGTGAGCTATAGTCTAAACTCCTAGTATCCCCCTTAATAAGCCCTATAGTACTCCCCTATATAATCCCTGTATAACCCCCTTTCAGGAGTTTAGACTCTAGCTCATGTGATGGTGCCGAGGAGTGATGTCAAAGGCACCGTCATGGAGCTCCTAGTACAGGCGGCTGGCTAGATTGGGATGGATGGGTATAATGGAAAAGAAAATGGAAACTACTAAGGGTTATATAGGGTTATATAGGGATTATAGGGAGTATATTGGGGTTATCTTGGTATAATGAAAAAGAAAATGGACACTACTATAGTGTATTGGGGTTATATGGGTATAATGGAAAAGAAAATGGAAACTACTATAGTATATTCTGGACCGTGTACGGGTCTACAGGGCGTTCATGCTGTTTGGTATGAGAGTTTGAAAAAATTAGGGTTCCACTTAGTGGTCCACAACAATAAGGACGATAGTACTTTGGGTAGATAACGGGGACCTTCTCATCTTGGAAATGCTCATATGAAGAGTAGAAGAGAGACGGGAAGCCGGGATTTTCAGTGAGTCACCTGAGGTTGGCCTCGCGCACCAACAAGAGCTGCAAGCAGTGAAGGATGAAGCCCTGGCAGAGAGCACCACTTTGCAGGTAACATGGCGCATAACAGGGATTGAAGAGAACAGGCATATCTGCTCACCAGCCATAATGTCGCGGCTAGGCTAGGCTCTAGGTCAGGATTAAACCATTACCCCGCTGGCTCCCCGATCCCCCCTGGTCCTGGGCCCTGCAGTTAGGTTCTGATGGTTCACATGAAGGTTTGTACAGGGTTTACTTTGTTTGTTGAGGGTTTATAACTTGAGAACCTGGTGTTACCCCCATCCCCCCAATGTAGATCTGTGGCCTGTGGTCTGGGTCTTGTTTTAAATTGGGTTTATGGAGTGCTTATGGTGTTTTCAGAGGGCTTATGAATTCTCAACGGTCATACAAGGTGTAAAGTAAAGAAGGGTTGCAGAGGCTTCATGCTTGTATAGAAGGTTCATTTGAGATGAGGAGCACCGCGCTCCCCATGACAGTGAGTATTTTGAAGCAAGACAACAATAGGAGGTTTTAAAAGCGACGACAGTTGCGGGGATCGCGATAAGGGGGGGCTGGGAACGCACAATGCGGGAGCATATGGTGCCCATTTTTCTGGAAGCCGATGTCTCATGTACTGCCAGCCAATTTTCAGGCCGAGATTGATGAGCTTCGTGCCCTCACATCGCCTGGGAGAAGTTCACTGAATGCGCAGTCCAGGCCTGCATGTCTACGCGCAGCGTCCAGCTGAATGTACACCGTTCTTCCGGTGTCTGGCATTGTTTCACTGAAAGCACAACCAAAACTTCTTCGCATCTGCACTTATTCAGTCAAGTGAGGATCCTCATTCCTTGGTTGGCTGAATGTGCTGCTTGCAGGGTTCATTCCACTTCGAGAATGCGAAGCTCTCGGAGAGGATCGCAGCTGCAATCAGGCGGCCGGGCTTGCTGAGCCTTTGTGATTCCATGATCTCAAGCCCTGCCACGTCGGTGGAGGATCTGAGCAGGACGATGACATCAGACTAGCCTGGAGCGGCCGAGAGGACTGCAAGCAGTGATGAGATGTCGCATCCTTCAAGGAATCCTCTTCAAATCACTTGCTGTTCTTATGCGCTCGGACTAATTCCTTGCAGCATGCTGCCCATCGTGCTGGCTAACACCTGTAGGCGAGAGGAACCTGTTGCTTGCAGGCAGCACCATGCAAGCCAAAGCAACGAGTGTTCGGGAGCGCAGCCAATAAAGCTTTGCCAATGGCTCAGACATCCATTGGCTGGGATTAGCTCCTCCTGGCAGGAGCCAGACAGCGTAGACCGGCTGCTGCTTCCTGAAGTGAAGGCTGGGAGGGCACCCTTTTGCATTTGACTCATGCTTGGTTGGACTGATCCGTTTAGTAGTCCCTTTCTGCTGCCCACTGTCACTCGGAAGAAGGTCCCTTCTATGAATACCCTGATTCCCAACTTGGTATGTACAAGTTTTGGTTATGCAGCACTTGCAGCCAGGGCTCTCTTTGCAGCCTGAGTTTGTGGATGCACAGATGTGAGACCTGGACCTGCACAGGCTTTGCTTGCAACCCGAACCTGGAGCAACAGAAAAGAAACCAACACCTGAGACTTCCCCCGCGCTTCTACCACTTTACTGCTGAGGTAGACAGCCTAGATTCATTCCACGAGGAGGACAAAGGCCTGCTGCTGCTGATGCACATGTTTGACTTAGTGTTTGGGGTTGAAATTTGGCTAAATCCTAAACCCTAAACCCTAGGTAACCCCATAGTAGTAGTTTCAGATTACCTTTGCATAAATTATGCTTGTACATCCCCAATATAGGCCCTATATAATCTATATATGAATCCCTATATACGACATAACCCTATATAATCCCTAAAGGTCCCCCAAAACCTAAACCCAACAACAAAAACTCCTCAACACCGCCGTTCCATTTGCAATGTATCCAGGCCGTGTCTTCCAGGGATGGTTTGGAAAAGAAACTGAAAACTACAGGGATTATGGGGGTTATATGTGATCTATCTTGGGGCTATATAGGGATAATGGATGAGAACATGGAAGCTACTATATTGGGGTTATATAGGGTTTAGGGTTTAGTGAGACACCTCGGCCTCTTGGTTGCCATAATGTCCCTATACCACAACACGAATGCACGGACCACAAGATGACATTGACAAAGCACGGAGGCATCAATCACATAACACGGAGGTGCTCATCACACAAATCACGAAAGGAGACGGACCACCTTTCATCATGCGATTGGGCTCAGGATCGCAGACCGGCACGAACATTTAAATCTTTCCTGCTTATCATGCTATGAGACGCAAAAGCGCCCTCCCGACTGAAGTTCGTATGAGAACATGCCGCAAAAAAGGGGAACGTTCTGGTTTTACAGCCCGCGCTCTCGTTCTGCAAAGCCAATGGAAAGCACAACTGCAGGAATAAATTGTGACTCCCACCTCATCATGCGATGAAATGGCGTGCCACCGCCATGACCCAAGACCAAGCGATGAAAAATGCCGGCAGCTATCGGAGGAATGACAGAGACAACAGGTGGCTTACAGGAGCCGCACCCCAGTGGCAAACCAAATAAGAAAACCAAACAGATCCGGATTGCAGTTCACGTTTACAAGCCTTGCCCTGTTTCTCAGGGAGTGTGCAGGGCATATCGCTTCCCGAGAAATCACCTCTTCGTGCCACTTGGCTGCCTCAAAGTGCTGCGTGAATCTGCGCACGCTGGTGAGTGATGCTTCCATGGCCTGCCAATGCTAATCCCTCTTTCTTGTGACTGTCTTGTCAGGCTAGCTGGCGGTCTGTGCATGTGCCAAGCGATGGCGTGGAGCATGCGCCGTCACAACATACGCAGAAATCAGGCACTTTCCTGAGATATAATGAGGTAGGTGCCTAGGTGCCCAGAGCAAGTCCCACTCCTGCATGGCCTGAGGCAAGTCCGATTCTTCCAGCCATAAAGGTGTGGAGAGACGCAGTATTCTCAAGAGCAGAGAAGACAGAGAAGATGAAACGGAAAAGTGACTTGGCAGCCAAAGTCGAGTCATGCATTCGGCGGTAGAAACGCAGCCGATGCGACAGCCCCGCCGCGTGACACTCAGGACTGAAACCAAGATCCCAGATCTCTCTGACGTTTGGAGTGCAGGTGCTGGAAATCATGTTTGGGGAATCAGTTTCTCCCAGAGGGTTTTGTCCGGTTCTTCTTCAGTCGCATGGTGTTCCTGTCCCACATGGTAATATCTTATTTGGGGATACTGTGGTGCCCACTATTGAGTAAGATCTAGTAAGATTATATCCTGCTTTTGGGGTATGTTATTTTATACGCAGAATAGAGTCTTATTCGGCTCAACCAAAAAAAAGCTACTCACAACCCTAAACCCTAGACCCTAAACTGCGACAAAAACGTGGAGGCAGACCCTTGAGCAAGGCTCGGGTAAACTTCATGGCATCGCGCACGAGAAAAACTTGGCGCAGGCAGCGGGGAATTGCGGCTGATCCTTTACCTTACTGTTTAGGGTTTAGGGTCTTGGTGGAGAATTAGGGAATGCAATCCCTTTAAAATCCCTATGTCGTATATTCCCTTATTCTCTACAGAACTGGTACGTAAGTTACGTCTTTGGATTCCCTTCTTCAATTCAACCTGGCAACTTTTTGGAGCATGTGCCCAAGTGGTCTGATTGGCTTGATGCTCGGGCGGGATCCAGACGAGCCAATCGTTCTCGTATCGGTATTTACAGAATCAGGAGCCACCATGGTGTAGGCATGTTCTTCCCTGAAAAACGGCACCCCAAAAAGGGAACCCTACAGTTTTGGAAGCCTCCAAGTGGCATCTTGGCAGGCCTTCAGTGCTGCAAGCTGCATCTCCCATCGAGCTCCTGAGACATGCGGAAGAAATGGGGGAGGTTTCCAAGAATTAAGGGTCCGTACAATAAGGAATATCGAGTGTTGGGGTATGTGAGGGGACTACGATAGCACCCAACACGGGACATGGCTAAGGGTCTATAGTCTATAGGGCTTCGCGCAGGAAACTTCTGAAATCTGACGTCCCTGACTTAGTGAGGTAGCCAGCAGCTTGAAATGAGTTGAAGCGCAGGATTCAGCTAAACCACTCTGCACCTGAGGGAGTTCTTCACTGAAGGGCCTGGTCGATGGATATCATTTTTCGTTGTGGCGCCAACGTCTCTCAAGCGATTGTGCTACGATGTTTTTGGTTCCTTGGCCGTCAGTCATTGCATCCACTAGGATGGAAGACCTCCAGCATCGTAGTAATGGATTTTTGGCAAACGTTCTGCCCCTCTCAGGTGTTCTCCTCATTTGCTATGACCTGATCTTCCTTCCCATTGAAGCTTTCGAGCCCGAAAGCAATCCTTTCATGGAAGTTATGGCCTGGGTTTCGAGCTGCTATTGGCTTTTAGACATTCCACTGTCATTCCTGGTCGGCTACCCGCTTCTCGAGGAGCTGTTTGCCTCAAACTTGAAAGGACAACTTTCATGACGACTTATGCAAGCTAGGTTCACAATCTACCGTCATAGCAGTCCCATGGTCTAGAACGGAGCACGCTGTGAATGTAGTACAACTGCAGAGCTCCCTTGAAGGAGGGAACCGTGGAAATGCGTGTTCCGAAGATTGCAGTCCAATATTTGCGAAGCTGGTTTATTTTCGACATTGCCGTGGTATGTGGCTCGGCACTATCGTCATGCCTGAAAGCAAGATTATGGAAGAGTTGTGGCCGCTGCTTCACAGAACCTGATCCAGAAGATTGCTCTCCGAGAGCCTCCAGAAAAGAAGTCTTTTACCGACCTAGCTGCCAACACTAGTGACATAGGCGGACCAGACTCAAATCAAAGAAAGTGGTTGGCGTGTTGACAACGTAAGTCGACAGCCTTCGTCCAGCAAACAGGATCGTTTGCCATTGAGGCGCTCAGCACGAAAAGCCATAGCCGCATGCCGTCCCAGCCAGATAGCGCGAGCTCGGACGTGTTTGCCAAATGTCTCTACTCTTTTTGCTGGAATCCATCCCTTCACTTCTTGCAGAAATTTTCGACTTCATTTTTTGATGACAGACAGCTTTGCCTGTGATTTTTCTAGAGGTGTCCTCTAGCACAAGTTTTGTTTAAGCTTCGCATTTTAAACGAAGCTTACCTTTCTGGCTTCGCATGCCTTTTCGAGGTAAGTGTAGTTTTAAGACTTTAAGGTAGTAGTACAAGGCCACTAGGAGCAGTTTCCGGGTCTTTGTAGGGTCTTCGGGGTAGAGGTGTCGCTTGCGACTTACTTACGTTTGCGGGTTCTCAATCTGCCGCAGTTGCATGTTTGTGCTCCTCTGCAAGCGCAAAGGGCAGAGCCATCGTCGCTTTCGCAGCCAAATGCGTACATTCATGCAATTGTTTCTCGGGAAAGTGGGCCCTAGTTGTCTTGGATCAGCCTCCGCTATGAGAGCCCTAGCCCGGAATCTGTGTACCCTAGACGGAAAAAGGGAGGGTCCCACCGAAAGTCAAATGGTGTACCCATGGTAGTCAGCACTAGGACCCTACGACAGCAACCGTGTCCCGTCACTGTCCCCCGAATCCCAAGATCTGTCACCAAGGTGCAGCTCCGTTGGCCATGCAAGTGGTTGAAACCCGAACCCAAAGCTCTACACCATAACCGATACTCCTCGCCCTAGACGCAGTTTGACGCTACTCCTTAAGCCATGAACCTTAATCCCTTATTCCCAAACCTCACACCATGTACCTTGAAGCTTAGGTATTGGACCGTGAACCCTAAGCCGTGTACCCTAAACACTGGGCCGTGCCGCCATGAGCCTTGATCCCGACCGCAAGCCTGAGAGTTCACAGGCAACTTCTTTTGCTGGTGCTTAGGAGGGAATGGGGGAATGGATCCTTATAGTAGTCCCTATATAATCCTAAATGATAGTCCTTACAATCCATTCCCCCATTCCGTCCTAAGCACCAGGGAGTTTTTTTGGGTGAAAGAGCACGCTCGCGTGTTGGGAAATTGCACGTGATCCTCAGCAGTGACAAATGATCCCCTCTCCTTCTGGTAGGACTGGTACATGCGCAGGGTACAGCTACCACTCTAGCCACCATATAAAAATATATACTTACATATAGATATATATATGTATACACATATGCACATATTCATAGAGAGAGAGAGAGAGAGAGAGAATCCGTAGCCATTTTGGCTCCAGTCTCCTGCCACTCTGTGGACCTCGGTCGCAGGGTCTCCCAGGGCGGCCCCTCGACTGCGGCGGGGAGTAGGCCCTGCTGCGGTCGTGGGGTGGACGTCCCTGGGGGGGTGGCTTGGGCGAGCCGAGCAGCTGTTTCTCAGCCAAGGGGCCGCACCCCACGAAAACTGTCTGCCTGTAGCCACTAACCATCGTAGGCTGCTCATCGCTCATATCCCGCTGAGCCGGCGCACTGACCCTGACTTCGGTGACTGGCCTTCCCACTTTGCGTCCACCTGCTGAAGGCTAGCCGGGCGAACATCGTCAAGGACGGTCCAGGAGGTGATCTACGATGGAGTCAGCTCCCAGTGCGGCTGTGGCTGGAGAGGACCTGAGACGTGCTGCAGCAACACCGATCGAGGTGGATGCGGATGTGGACGACCTTCGGAATGCGCCGAGTGCGCCGGGAAACGTGGACTCTCCTACCAAGAGAACACGGTGGGACATACAGGGTCCAGCAGCCACCGCACCAGCCCTAGCGCTCGAGCAGCGCACCGCCCAGTTGGCGACTGCCTTGGCACCCATCACTGGAGGACTGCAAGACATGCAAAAGCGAGTTGCCAACATAGAAGAGGAAGTTACCACAACAGTGGGGTCAGCATTGGAGCTTATCCGTACACTAGATCACAGGCAGAAGGGCATGAGTGAACAGGTCGATGGCATCCGAGAGCAGGTGACTGCACAGGCCAAGGCTGCCCGCAAGCAAGAGCAGGACATTCGGTGGCAGATTCAGAGGACATCGCAGAGAGCAGGGCCAGAGAAGGTGCGACGGACTCAACGATACAGGAGATCCTTAAAAGGATTGATGTTCTTGAGGACGGGCAGCCTGGAGCCAAACCTGGGCAATACAACTTGTTCGAAGGGGAGCAGGGAGCGGGGCCCCGATCGCCGGCAGTGGTGATAGGAGGGTGGGACATGGACCTTGATGAAGCGGAGACCCTGGACAAAGCACGGAAGATGGTAAAGGACCTCAGCATTGACATCGACATGGAGGAAGCGTTCATGCCGGGCCAGAGTCTGATGTGTACAGTAATCCGACGCAGAGCCCTGTCAGCCGGTCGCGAGGTGGAGCCCGTGATGGACTGCTATGGCCGAGTCAGGAAACCCAGAACGGCTGCCAGGTACAGAGACACATGTCCCACAGTTTCCCGAGGGCAGTGGTCGAGAGGACATTGGCCAGGAAGCTAGCCGGGCCCCTTGTGCGAATGTGCAGGGCCAAACCAAGACATTGCTCAGTAAGATGACACCGAAGGTGTCCACCAAAAACAGATATGATCCTCTGGATGACGTCTCATGGAGTGCCCGCCAACAACTGGAGGAGACTCGGAGGAATGAGCATCCGTTGCAGTGCAATGAGAAAGCACGCTCAGGTGCAATTCGCATCGACCCGGAGACATGTGAGCCGTACAGCCCAAAAAACAGAATGTGCAAAGCGGACCATTGAACTGTGGTGAGGAGAGAGAGTTGGGGACAGACCCAGTTAAAGGTGAGCCGGCCCGTAGAGAGGCAGTGTCAACAAACCACGTAGCGGACAGAGGTGCAACGGAGCGCGGACCCAGTGTACCGCAGCGAGAGAGAAAAAGGTGCAGAAAGAAACCCACCGATAGAAGGAACCCGGGCTATGACATCCGAAGCAGGGCAAACCGAGGCAGAAGCAGAAGCCGAGGGCCGGAGCAGCGACAGGTCGAAAATCGGGCAGTTTGGGAGGAGGTCCAAATCCTGACGTGGAACGTTGGAGGGCTGCCGAAAGACAGGGGATTGATGGCTGGCGTATAGTTGCAGGAAAGAGAAGCAAAGAGTGGAGAGGAAGAATGACTGCAGTGCGCAAGAGTCTGGGAAAGATAACACACATGGAACTCGGAGAGGATGCGCTCGGGGTCACTATCAAGACAAGGAAGGGTAAGCTTGGGATTCTCAACGTGTACCTGCCACACTGGCAGACACGGGATCTCACACCGCGCAGTGGGCCCGCGTGCAAGCAATGAGGCAACATAAGCGGATCTTCATGGGTGACCTTAATGAAACCTTTGATCAGGTCGCAGCGAACACACACGAGTGGTCAACGCTCAAGCACAGAACCGCGAGGGGAGCATTCTGCTGCAGTGGTTGAACGAGCAAGAAATGCAAGTCCCTGCGCAGGACATGCCACACCCGACCTACCACCCTTACAACCGCCTGCGTCAGCCAAGAAGACTGGGCTACATCTTCCTGTTAGAGATCGAAGAGGTAGGAGAGGGAAAAGTGCATCAGCTGAGACATTTAGCCTCCAGTGACCATGATGCGGTTACAGTCCAAGTCAGGATCCCTCGAGAACAGGCCCTGGCTAGAAACCACGACCCCCCGGCCAACCATGGAGCGAGACAGCTAAGAGGCGAAGAGTCCGTCAACAAAGCCCTTCGACGAAGCAAGACGTGGAGAGGAGATGGGTTGGTGCCGACCAGCGAGCGCAGTCCACTCACCACGAAATTGCATGGTATCTCCAAAGCGGCTCTTAAGTTCCATGTTAAGTGGGGAGGTTCAGGTAGTTCATAGGCATGCAGCATCAAAAACAAAAAGCTAACCAGGATAATTACAATGACCACGGCAGTCATCCATTTGGAAGAGGTGCAGTACAGTAGGCGCAATGGCAATCAGGAGAGGTAAGTACTTTCATTACCATCAATCAAGGCAGTTTTCTGCGTGATATCTTCATCGCCTTGAGTATCCTTATTGAGGCCATCAGCTGGAAACAAGACACATTGATACATGTGGTGACTTACCTGAGTCTAGAGAATTTCCGCAGGTTCACACTGGCATACAGCCAAAGGATCAAGCCGCAGAAGAGATCATGTGAAAGCACTCATGACGTATGTCCACTCCAGTACCAGCGAGTGTTTTGGGGCTTTGTGGATGCCAGCTTTTGGGAAAATACATCGTTCCTTGAATGCTGCGATTCTGTAAAAAGGCTGGTGAACTTGAAATGAAGCTGCCCAGCAGCTCAGGATTAAGTAGCTAGGCCGCTGGATCAAACTGAAGGAGCTTGAGTTGGCGAAGAAGGCATTTGCTGAAAGAGTCCACAGCACCGAGGCACCTGTACGTTGGCTTTGGGGGCTTGGGGCTAAGAGCTTGGCCTTGTGGGAGTTTCGGGGGTACGTTGGAGGATACAAGGATTTAGGGTATGATCAGGGGTTCAGGGTTTGGTCTCCCCTACACCAATGGTCACCCAAACCCCAAAGAGACCTCGCACGGAGACACCAACGACTACAGCCTCCACTGCGGGAGAGCAAGCTCCCAAAAAGAAGAAGCCGGGGAAGGGGAAGGGAAAACCTCAAGAGAGGACTCACCGTCCAGCGCAAGGTATGCCCCAGACGGGGGGATACTCACCGGAAACGGTACAGACGTTGATTCCCATGTTTACATCCGATGCTTGTGAGGCAGTGTGTTGGCATTAAGCTTGCTTACTTAGATTGATGATCGGAGAGCGGTACTTGAGCGGGTGCCAGTAGCGCATCCACTTGGGCAGCAGGAGTGTGTCAGACTCTTTGCGGCTGGCGGCGTAGGATGCTGGAGTGTTTTTGCCATGTTGTCTATCTGTAACGATAGTGGCCCATAGTCGTGTCGGCGCCAGTCAGAGCGGGGGCATGGCCGGGGCGTAGAGGCTCCAAGTGCATCGATTACTCCACCCCATCACATTAGTACAGACCTCAGCCAGACGAGCTGGGCAAGTGATGGGTGCCTCACAACTGTGCTCAGTAGCGGTGATGGCCATAAGCGGGATTGCAAGGGAGTACGCTGTGCAGTTTTACGGAATCTGGCTTTAGTGTTAACTTCTGCATCTTCGCATCCCCGACTATGGTCAGTAACCGGGCCCTGGGGCAGTCTCGTGCGCACCTGATCCGTCCTGCTTGGGGTGTTGCCCCCGCCTCTCCCTAGTGGAGAGGTATAGCAGTGAGAAGAAGAAGAAGAGAGATTCTGGCTCAAGCCACGAGCATCAAGCCCCCCGACACATTCCGTGAGCCCTGGATACTCTCCCCCTCTCTTTGCAGTGTCGGGCGAGGCTTTAGGCAAGACTCTCCTGCCACTTACTCCTGCTAGTTGCCCGCCATTCATCCTCAGGGGCTGCTTGCGGGACAACATCACCCCAACGGTCGCTCCAGTATGGTGTCAGTTGCTGCACGACAGGCCTATAACCAGGTGATAAAGTACCACAGAGCCAACTTCCTCCGCACCATCGACGTTGGGAGACAAACCCCATCAAGGGCAAGACCGTGACACTGGCAAAGACACCATCGACGCAAACTTCCCAGCGATGGCAGCGAGAGTAGGGGCAACCAGCAGCCCCAGCGCAGCAATTGATGTCGAGGTGGACAGCCCAGGCAACAAGCGACCATGTCCGTCACCGAGTAGCCCCGAGGCAACCCCGCTCACGCTTGAGCTATTCCAGTCCATAATCCAATCACTCATCACAAAACTTGGCAGCATTGATGTCCGTGTTGGCCAGGTTGAGTCGGCCTTCGCAGAGCACATGCAAGAGCAGGTAAATGTATTGACAGCCATCACAAACACACAGAGCCAGCACACATCCGACTTAATAGCGCTCCAGCAGCAAGACAAGGTCAACAAGGAGACCATTATCACGATCCAGCAACGCCTGGAAAAGCTAGAAGCTAACCCACCACGCCAGCAGCACACCAAACCTACCACCACGGTGGAAGACAGGCAACCTGCGCTGATCATGGGTGGATGGGCGGACGACCAAGAGGCCAACTCCACTTTACAGTTAGCCAAGGACGCTGTGGCCAGCCTACAGCTGGACGTGGATATGGAGAAATCCTTTGTGCCAGGGGTGCGCAGAGGATATTTGGTAGTGCCATACATGCCGAGAACCAATGAATCAGAGGGCAACATGCACAACCGCCTCACCTCAGCCATACAAAAAGTCAGGCAAGCACGCAGAGCCACTGGAGCAGTCAACCCCGATGGGCAATCCAAATACCTTTGGCTAACCTACTCCCAGACACCGGAAAGGAGGAAGCGTGCGCGCTACGCAGGAAAAGTGAAGCGCCTCATGTTGGAGCAAGGCGCCCAAAAGGATAACTTGCAGGTGGAGTTTGCTACGGGGACCCTTTGGTACCAGGGCAGGCGCATTGCAAGCGCCACTGCGCCACCACCACAAGGACAGACAGTCACCAAGTCCGCCCTCGGATGGCTGGACGCAGAAGCAGTGGGCAACTTCACCAAGAAGAGCAAGGACAGCATCGTGGCGGCCTGGAACACCCTGCTGGACCCACTTTTGCAGCAGTGACGCCCTAAGGCAACCAAGACACCCAGGCAACCGTTTCACACACACCTTGCCACATGGAACATTGGAGGGGGAGCCTTAAAAGACATCCCTCAGATGGAGCATAAGTGGACAGTTTTGGCGCACAGGGAAGAAGCCAGTCCTAGGGACAACAAGTCACCATGGTTAACAACAGGGCAATATTCCATCCTCCGTAAGCTGTTTTTCATAGTTACCCCCAGCAAAAACAAACCATGGCAATGGCTAGATGGGCCCTGCCAGGCGAAAGGGTTGCTTCAAAGACCACCTATAAACAAGGGAGCCCCGTTGACAATAGTCCACAAGCTCTTTGCACAGTTACCCCCGGAATGGTGAAGTGGTCCACCAAGGTATGCTTAGGGTCAAGGATAGGCTGAGGTATAGTGGGGAGACTTTGCACGCTAAGCAAGAAGCATGCCGCTGCCAGCAACCTGCCAACTGGGCAACAAAGTTTCACCATTTTGAAAGCAGTCCTACCACGCAACTAGGCAATCCTTTCCTTATAATGTCCTCAGTAGAAAATGAGATTAATCCTTCTATCTTCCAGTAAACGTGCGCTGGCAGGGGCAACTTCACTCCCTCACCCTGCAGCGATACGTACTGTCAGGAACAGTTTCAGAGGATGGGCGGCCCTTCTCCCCATAAGATCCTGCATTGCACCTAGGAGGGCTCACGTTACTAAGTGTTCAAGCCCCCAGCCTGAAACAACAACGAGGGATACACTAACCTAGTTGCCCAACACGGGCTGGGCAGTGACGCCCGGAGGGGGACAACAGTCCCGCCTCCATAGCCTGAACGAAAGAAAGAAAGAGACAGAGGTGCAGCAGTGGTGCCGACTTGGAGTGACCGAACACCCGTGGGCTCGGGGTCGCACCCCGGCCTCCCTGCAAGTGGGGGGGGGGCTTCGCCCAAAAAAAGAAAACAGATGTAGCAGCGAGACGCACTCACAGCCCTGTTGAGAAGGACAAAGGCCAAGCTAGTGCAGTTTCACGCCCCAGTCGAGAGACATGCCACGATGTGGGCCCAGGCAGATTGGAGAGTGTAGGGCATGTGGGGTTAGTTTTGTTGGAGTTGGGCCTGGGACCATTTCGCAGCGTGTTAGGCCTCCTGGGTGGGACCGGACTGAGACATATGCTCGCCTGCGTGGGCGGCGGGCTCTGCCTGCGAGGGGTCGCAGGACCCCTTAACGCCCGAAGATGAAGAAGAAGAGCGAGGGGAGGAAGATGAAGATGAGGCACCTCGAAGGCCTTCGGAAACATGCCCTGTTTTCTCCAACCGACCGATCAGGGAAGTCGTGCTCGGGGTTCGCCCCGGCGCCCCCCCTTTGGGACGCGCATGGCACGTAGAAGAAGAAGAGCGAGTGAGTGAGGGAGAGGGAGAGCGAGCGATAGATGTGAACGCTGCTGAAAAGTAAGATCGAGGCAGCCGTAGCACTTGAGGTGTTGATTCTTTTAGTTTTCCTTTTCTAGCAAGCTGCGCATCTGTTGGCCTGGTTATGCAGTCATGCTCTCACCGAGTCCATCGTGCTGACTTTTGATGTCTGCAAGACCGGCTTTTTTTGGAAGCACCGACGGTTTCTTGAAATCATATTTGTTGACAGGATCTTGTCGTGTCCTGGTCCGACTTTCCGGCTTTTCCCAATTTTCCTGCGATTTGCGGTGTCTTGGGGTACTTCGGATTCTTCCAGCTTTTGATTCCTCCTTTCGTGACTTTTTCGTCCGCTGCCCTTCACAACCACAGGCTACAAAAAGTCGCCTTTTGTAAGGGAAGCCTTGCAGCTTATCGGCCACCCTAGGTCTTGATTGGGCGCTGCATATTTGGAGCTTCATGTATGCCGCAAACTCTGATTCAGGCAGGAAGGGACAGTTGAGCACCTGGCGGCAGGCCTTTAAAACTGAACCGAGCTTTTGCACTGAAAGAGTTTCAGGCCGCTCTTCTAATTCATGCATGTGTTTCGATTTTGCGGCCCTAACAGAATACAAACATATACAAACCATACAACTTACAGAGATCAATCCCCAGAACCGAGGGAGCCTTAAAGAGCGACAGTGTTTTGACTTTTCTTCGCCCCACCAGCTGTTAGGGGATGGGGTCTGTGAAAACCCAGGGATTAAAAAGGTGCAACATGACTGCAACTATAACTATGGTTAGTGCTTAGAAGCAGATGTATCTGTAGCCTTAGGGTGGGCAAGAACATGGTGCGAGGGCCAGTCTACATGCAATGTAGCCAAAAACTTGCAAACCGCAAGGTGTTTGTGGAAAACGGTTGTCCTGTTTGGCACTTAAAATTGTCATCGACCATTATTCTCACAACCCTCCGCAGGATGCAAAGATGGCCCAAGCTTTTTGATGCACATGGGTGGTTGTCAAAAAATTATGGTCCCTTGTTGGGTACCCTAATTATTAGGTGCCATATTATAATAGGGATCCAACAAGGGACCATAATTTTGACAACCACCAATATAACCCATTATAGCAGTTTCCATTTTCTTTTCCATTATCCCCCATATAACCCCAATCTAACCCTAATATTACCCTAATGGGTACCATAGTTCTGACAACCACCCACATCTTGAGCCTGCTTCAGGCGCTGATGCCGGTGTCGCCTTCTTTCGCACAGCGAAAACGATCCGCTTACTCCGATTCTTCCGCTTGATCCGGCTGATGAAGGCCGACTTAACCTGGTGGCCAGATCTTGGGGTTTAGGACATGGACCGCAAGATGCTTCAGAGAATATATCTTGAGTTTGGCATTGGCTTGAGGGTTTCAGGTTGCTGCGTGGCAGTTGACATGATGGCTGTTGAACATTGGCGTTGGCAGGCGCGTGGTCGGATTAACGATTTCGTCGAGCGGGTACAGCCCTTCGGAGGCAGCATCACTCCATGCCAGAATCCTGCTTTCGAAGCCAGCGACAGCTAGATAACCTGTTGTCCATGCAGATGTTTGGATGACTCAGGTCTGAAGCTTCATTGATCTTGATCGGCATTGCGAAGCTTGTAGCTTTCATTATCCTCGTGAACCACTTGGTGGCCTGTGTGTGGTATGCCATAGGCAGCTACGTTCCTCAGCAAGCAAGCAAGCAAGCAAGCAAGCAAAGGTGAGCTGCGTCAATAGCACTGTTGCAAAAGCGTGTGTTCAGGATCTCACCAGGGAAGACAGGTGGCTGCGTGCCAGTGGCCTAGCGCCCTGACAGCAAGAGATGTCAAGCAGATTCACAGTGACATCGGGCGCGAGTAGACAAGATGCTGTCATCATGTTAGCCTGCAAGAGGAGGCAGGAGGCGTGGTGAGCCCAAGGCACGTTGCTGTTCATATCATAGTCACGTGTAGATTTACGCTGGTTACCTCACAAATGGCTTGAACACCTCCTGCAAAAGTTAAGCTGGAATTTGCACGAACTTACTCAAGTAGCAAGTTTGCCACCGGAACTAATCACCCATGTGTTGAATTTGCTGGAAATCTCCCAGCACGTTTCTTGAAAGATTTGCAGCATCCAAGGAAGCCAGAAACATTTGGTACAGGTATTCTACTGCTCTCCATTGGTCCATCACGCAGCTTTCGCCCGTAGCAAAGAGCACTGTTTTGTTTTGGGGGTCCGGTGGGTTGCTCTGCTGAACGTATTGCTGCTCCTGCTGCTGACAACGGCTAGGTTCACACCAGCATCTATGGAAGTGGTTCCAGCAAACGAGTACGAGCGCTTCTTCACTGTTTGCATGATTTTGTCTGGGATGCTCATATTCTCATCATTTGTGTCTGCGATTACCAATGCGATGAACCAGCTGCGAAACCTCAACAGCAGCTTGGGCGCATTAGAGCAAGTTTGCCGCCTCGACCGCCCTAAGACTACCCTGAACTTTTCGCACAGGTGTTGAATCCATGGTTGTCTGGCATTTTTCTGTCTTCATAAAGCAGAGAAGCCAGGCTGGCGGCACGAACAAGAGTCACTGCTGCGGCGCTACCTCCAAGAGAACTCTGTCACACCCTCGCTCACAGCTCGCATCCACAACTGCTTACAGAAAGCTTTGCAGCTGGGATGGCAGCCAAGGGTTCGACACAAATATCAGTGGCAGAACGGGAGGACGAAGCAAGCATGCCAAGCTGGCAGGAGCTATCAGACAGCTAAGGCAGCAGTCACGACGCCGTGTGCATGTGGATGAGATCCGGATACTGCAGCAGCTTCCGCTAAGCCTGAAGCAGCTCAGCTGGTGGATTTCTATTGCTGTGTACTCTCCGTGTTGGTCGTAAAGTCCCAAACTGATCTCATCACAGGCTTTTGGCCTCCTTCAAGTACTGTAGCCATAATCATTTAAAGTCCAGCTCCCCAGCACTCCATAAGTGATCATCCCACAGCCTTGAACAAGAAGTGGGGGTTTCCCAAAATTAGGGTACTTTATCGGGGGTCTCCATAATAAGGATTATAGTCTTTTGGGGTCTATCTTGGGATTCCCTGATTTAGGGGAACTACCAAGTTAAAGCCATACAGTAGCTGAAATGGAATGCTACTCATACAGCAGTGTTTGGCCTTGCCGTGCTGTTCCTGGTTTGCTGGCAAAGGCTTGCGCTGGAAGTGTCAGGTTGTGCGACTATGACAACTTCAAATCAAAAGAGTTAGGTGACCTTGACGGTTTCATGCTCCCAAGACATTCTGCTAAGCAGCTGTGTCTGCAGCCGTGACCTAACCATCCCAGTTCTAACCATTTTGCTTTTAGCCACCAGCACTCAACACAACACCCTTCAACCCTTCAATCACATGAACATGTGTTTGAGCTGCTGGTGGCTATAGCACTTCAAGCAAAGATGAAGACATGCGGTGCTAAGCAACAAAACGCTAAAACAGTTTGAGCAAGCACAGACAGCCATGCCCCTAAGACTTTTGCTTCAGGGTAGCCTGGGACAGGGTGGGAGTCTGGCAGGAGCTTCGCGAAACTATACGTGTTCGGTTTCTTGAGCCAACGGGCGTCCAGTCAGGTTTGAGCTCACAAACGAAATCTACGCACCAGCACTGGGCGGCTTGGCTAAATTGCAATCGGAATGTGTGTGGGGCAGGCCAAGTCTGGCAAACCAAGTTGTCTCAGGAAAGCATCCTTTCTTCACCTTCTGCCACAGTTGCTTGCCTTCGGAGTCCCGGAAGATCTACAGCAACTGGTCTTCTATCACTGTTGTGTGTGCTTGGAAATGGAGGTGTAAGTTTAACCTGCTGGTTAGGATTGGAATCGTGAGGATGTGTCGGTTGCAGGATTTGCCCAGAGAGGTCCAACACCCCTCAGTCATTGCCGGGGATGGGAAAGGAGCAAACATTTGTGCACATGTGTTGACATCTGTATATAGAGAGTCCATGAGGGTCCTCGAGCAAACGGGCATCAAGAGCAGGAGGCAAGCCACAGCTAGGACGCCGCCCGAAAACCCACATGCACGTCGTTCCAGTACTGAAATCCAAGCAGGCTTATGAATCTGTCCAGGCACTGAGGACCGGTGAGCTGAGACCGTCAACTCTTGGTGAAACGATTCGTCTGTGACTGGTTTGCTGTTTTGCAGATTCATGTTCCGTGTGAGGCAATGGCGTATCACAGAAATACTTGGTCATCTCTCAGGCCCCCTGCATTGTGAGAGGGCACTCCCTCAGAGGGTGCTTAGAAAGGGATCTTGGATGTATCAGAGAACCAAAGCGACCTGCTTCAGTCGTTGCCCTGCCAGGAGCTACTGACCACCGGCGAAACGGGCAAACACATGTTCTTTCTGACTTCGGGCACTTTGGTCTACACCAGGGAAGAGGAGCCCGAGCACCTAGGGCTTGGCTGAGCTTGCATCACAAAAAAAACAAAAGTCTTTCTTGCAGAGTCCAAACGGGTCTGCCCATGTAAGCCCCCATGGGTAGGAGTCTATCTTAGTGTTGCCTTTATATTAGTACTGTTATTACTGCAATTACTACTGCTATTTTTATAGCATTACTTTTATTCTTCTTATTCTTCTTCTTATTCTTGTTATGATATTCCGTCTTAACGAGTCGTGATCTGAGGCAGCAAGCCGTGACAACCACTCAACCTTGGTTGGTCGAGGCGGCATTGTGGCTGAAGCTGGGTTGCTGTTAAGGAACTTACTTTAAGATACGATAACAGGTATATATATATATAATATAGTTTTTCTTTTAGTAATTGATAGGGTTCCACAGATATATATGTGTATCTTTATGTGTATAGTAATTAATATGTTTTCCAAATATAGTAACTTACTTGAAGTTCCTTGACAGCGACCCAGGAAGTGGCTGCATGTCGGCACAGCCAGCAGCACTACCCACTGTGAGCTGCTCGGTTTGGATGCCAGCAAAGTCCAGGACCGCAGGGTTTAGGGTTTAGGGTTTTGAACATGTCTGTTTAGATGATTATTCGTGCTGCTATTACAGGTGTGGCAATTATTTTACTGTTACCATCATGACAATTAGCACTACAATTTCTATCATTGCCAGGATTAATCTGATTATTACCTAAACCCTAAACCCTACACCTATTCTCACTAATATTACTAGCATTGCTTTCATCACTATGATTATTACTATGGTTACTACTTCAGCTAGCTCTGTGGCTGCCCCAGCCTTGTTCCAGAGTGTTTCGCCAATTTCCTAAGATCACCAGTGGTGCCTCTTTTGGTGGTCCCAATAAGGAGGATTTATTCTTTTTGGGGTCTATATTGGGGTTCCCTATTTATGGAACTAACAGATGAATGATACATGAGCTACTGTCAATAGTATGGTCATTAATTGACTTTTAATGCCCATCAAATTATGTAGGAAATATTGTCGGTAGCTCGCATAACAACGTCACCTTGCTAAGTTGCTTGCCTTTTTGCATTTTTTGGGCAGGATGTCCTCAAGGACGAAGCCACCGTGCCTTGGCGTGCATGCGTGAGACTCGCGCAGAGCTGCGCGACTAGCATTACACGTCCCTATTTTTGGCACGTGCCGCATTGTGGCCAAAGCGCAAGGTGGACAGCTCTAGAAGCTTTGCATCCTTGCGATTTGCACTGCTAATGGTCCTTTCCATAAATTTGGGGACCCAATAGAGACCCCCAAACAGTGTAATCCTGGTTATAGGACTCCAAAATGGTCCCCTAATGGGGGGTTCTGATTATAAAAACCGCCCCCACCCCCAAACAAGTAGAGGGGTCTGAATAATCCTGGGGGTCCCAAGCAAGTACGGGAAAACTTGTTTGGGGGGGGATCCCAGAGGAACCCATAAACCCTAAAACAATACGCGCTAAGCCCTCTGGCCTAAGGCTTGGGATATATTTGCAATTCAATATTAATAAATCCCTTCCCTCGAATATTAAAACCCATCCGAATATGTAGAATTCTAATTAGATTTCAATTGATTTCAAACTAGCATGCACTATTCCGTTTCTATGTTGTTATTAATCCGTTCAGCCCGGATTTAGCTCTCATACGACCCCCTTCTTCATACTATTCCGTTCAGGCCTGATTTAGCTCCAATACGACCCCCTTCTGTAATCCGGCCCCTACATTAACCTTTGGGAAGCCTTCAATTTCAACCCTAAAAACTAGTTCCATCTAGTTCCCATTTTCTTTTCCGTTATCCCAATGTCCCAATTACACCTGGTTTATAGGTCTCTGCGTTTGGCCACCCGTCAGGTCAGGGCCCTAAACCCTAAACCCGTCAGGTCAGGGCCTATGCAAGGAAGTTTTGGAAGCATTTCTCGGAGAACCCAAAGCTGCTCTCAGACATTTGGATCGACGACGCTAGTCAGCACCCAGACCCCCGAAAAGATCCAAAAAATGGAGCCCCCTAATAATCCCCTAGTTTCCCCAATGTAGTAATGGGTTCATATTGGGGGTTTCCATTTTTTAGGTCCTTTGGGGGGGTCTGGGGCAGTGTCATGCAGGTAGTTCCCAGAAGTAGGGTTGCACTTCAATTTTGGTACCCAAATAAATATTGGACGCCATAGTCGAACACCACAAGGGCCACATGTTTAGGATTTTTGGGGAACAGCGCATGTGAAAGACTGCAGTGCAGAGCCACGACCCAAAAACATGCCAGATCTCCATTGAAATCACCTCTACATGATAAGGGAGAATCACATGGACAATTAGATGGATGGAAATGAAGTGGAAGCTACCATGTGGAATAAGGAGAAAGAATGGACAGTGAAGTAGAAGCTGCTATATGTTGGGATGATTGAGGGATGTATAGGTATAATTTTTTCCCAGTTCACAGTCTTGCAAGCCCCAGTCACGCCTGGGGATTCTGGGGCTGATGCAATCAAGTCAGCCCCCGTTAACATCCCTTGTTCCGTGTGCATGAAGCCGCAACTCTTGGAGATCTTTCCAGATAGTCAGTCGACCATGGACTCTGCATAGACCGATGTCTGCACCATGATCCACGTTCTGCTTGCTGACTGAATTGCCTATCATGAGAAACGATTGTGCTGCTGCATATTGCCATAAGGAGGAGGCTGTATACCACTGGGCTGCCAGTGCAATGAGCAGGGCTGAAGAAATCCTTGGACACAGCACCTCGGACTTGCACCTCTGCATTGAAGCGTGGAAGCCCGTCAGTTTTTGAAGGTCTGTGGTGCCTCCAGGCTAAGCCCACTAACATGCTCGCGATTTGCGAATTTGTGCTTGGTGCAGGCATTCAGCCAGAACCTCTCAGCCCCAACTTCACAAGGCCTGGAACCGCTGCAAGATACGTTGTGTCGCTACAGGTGATTGAAACTTGCGGCAGGTTTCTGAATCGCTTCCGTCGACTGAGCACTGGGATGTTGCGGCGCTTTTCTGTGGCAAGCATGGTCCCTTTCTGGCACAAGCTGTAAGCTGTGTCTTCGAAGGCATGTTGCCTGTGACTCGTTTACTCAGGACCCGGACGATGCTGGGCATGGGCCTGGAAAGCTGCCACCACAGCTGCAGGCCTTTTTCTGATGGCATTTCCAGCACTGGACCTATCACACGTGATGAATGTAGTCAAGAGGGATTCAAGGAGGAGGACAGGGCAATGAAATCCCATTGAGCTGGTGTCTCTTTGCTTCTGGATTTGAACTGTTTTGTCTTGGTGGTTTTGGTTGTTGCTTCTTTTCTTGTTGCTTTGCGCTTCGACCTTTGCTGTCTGCAGCACGTTCTTGTGTTGTGCGCCGAGCAATCCGCTTGGCGCCTTTGCCTTATTTGTTTTCTCTTTCTGCTGTCGGCTTTTGCTTCGCAGCCTGCAATCGAAACCCTACCACTAAGTGAGACGAGTTTGAACTTGTGATGGGATAAACAATGGATCCGCTTGGAGGCTGCCTAGGGCTGCAAGGGCGGAAAAAACAGAGGTAAGGACCCACATCCCCCAACCCCGCCTCTTTTTCTATCAGCACTAAACTTTTGGATCAGAACCCAAGCAGACGAAAGTGCGAGCCCAAGCAGACGAAAGTGCGAGCGGTAGGGGTAAGGGTGTGGGCAAGAATAACTTGGGTCTTTGCAGGCATCAACGATTTTGATTGAAGCTATTCAGAGGCCGTAAATACTGCAAATCACAGCATGCGGAGTGCTTCACAAAAAGCACATTTCCCAAGTTACAGCATGTAGAGCTCTTTGGAATTCTTCAACAAAGCATCAGAAAGCAGACGGAAAGCATCAAAGCAAGGAAAATTAGAGGAAGAGCGGAAGACATCCCCCAAACAATTCGGCATCCCTAGGCGTTGCAGGTGCAAGTACTGCCTTAGCAGTACACGTGGTAGCAAGCCATGGCTGGCATTCTGCTTCGGAGTAGTGTGGGGGGTTTCTTGTGGACAGGAGCTGGTTGACCGGATGCAGCTGCAGCGGCAAGAGGTGTGACCTGCGGTATTCATTTTGTTATATTGTTTTTGTCTTCTTTTTGTCATTATCATACGTATCATTACGATTTTGCCCTGACTACCCTCAAAACGACGGGCACCTGTAAAAAGGCTCCTTGTGCCATGAGTCCTGTGGGTTCCGGGCACTGTCAGTGCGTGCTAACAGTATGGTGGTTTCCCTGCAACGGAGGACCCCAATACAACCCCCCAAATAGTATTGCCCTTTTTGCGGGGACCCCCCAAAATTTTGGGAAGCCCTTATCCCTGTAAACCCCTATATACTCCCAGTTCATATTTCATCTTCCATCTCCTTGTTCATTTGAGCCATAGTCTAAACTCCTTGAGGGGAGGTATATAGGGGATTATATAGGGGACTACTATAGGGGCTATTAAGGGGATACTAGGAGTTTAGCCTATAGCTCATTTGGGTTATGTATCCCTATGAATGGCGTCTATCACGGCGGCTTCTTTCAGGCAGCAGGGGCGGAGTCCGACAGTGACTCTGGACTCGGTGATGACTCTGAGGCAGTAGCAGCATTTGGCGAAGCACCTGCACTTAGGGTTGAGGGTTTAGGCTTTCCAGACGATGACTCCAAAAACCTGTTGCAAAAGGGTTTAGGGTTGAAGAGTCAAGGCAACATTTCCGTAATCTGCTGGCCTTGATCATGACCTCACCGCAGTGCTGTGCTTGAAGCCTGAAGCTTTCTGCAAGCATCATGCAATATGCCAGAAATAGCTTTCTGCAGTGGGTGTGGCTACGAAACTTCCTTCTCAGCACCAGACAGAAGCTGGAACGAACACCTGGCCTTAACGCCACGCTTATTATATCTTATTGCTATAAGTTTTAGTGATGCTACTCTAATTCCTATTGCTGTTGTCATTTTTATTGTTACTATCATTATTAGCATTATTATTACTACGATTGTTATTGTTGTCTGTGTTAGTATTACAAGTCTTACTATCAGTGCTAGTATTGTTGTTATCAGTGTTGCTATTCTTAATGTTTTGAAGCCTAGTGGATGTGTGATTCGCATGGACAGGAGGAGAAGCCAACTCCAAAGGCCGCCAACCAGCAAGCTTCCATTTGTGCTGGCCTCAGCGACGCCTGCAGGTTGCGCCTAGCCGTGGGCGCCAACACAGAACTACAATTAGCAATTCCACATGTATGCTCGTGCCGACCGAAATACGGTTTGCCCGTCCTGAACGTTTGCAACTTTGTAGGGTCCTCGCTCATCAGCTAGGCATCATGGCCAATCTCGACTGGAAAAAGCCCTATAACGTGGCGTGATAAGAACGCCAAGAAAGAGGTTGGACAAGAAATGATGGCTGGGCGAGCTTATTGCTTAGAATTTGCACGTGGAGCTCCATTACACATGAACGTAACCACACTTCGTGACATGAAGCGTCCAGTCATCGATGGCTATAACCTTTGGTAGACATACACTTGCAAAGCCAGCTGCCGAGAGATAGACCAGTTCATGGTAGGTTTCTATTTCATTGCCTGTGCATTGGGCCTCAAGATGACAATCTTCAGGGAGGGAGACCCCCTTGCACCCTAAACCACAAACCCCCCCCAAAAACATGAATGAGGCCCAGTGGTGCCTGCACCTCCCGCGCCTTTGAATACTGTACAGAGCGCCTGGATCTGCATTCAGACTCGACTTCTGCAGTGGGAGCTCCCAAACCCTAAACCCTGTTGGGTTGTGTCCCCTGGCTTTTCAGCACTTTTGTGCTCGAGGCCCCCCAAGATGACGCAAGGAGAAGACGGAAAACGGCAGGCAACACATGAGCTACAGTCTATATAGGGTTTAGGGTTTAAGGTCTCGACTCCTTAAAGGGGGTTCTGTAGGGGATTATATAGGAGAGCATTATACGGGTCAGCATCAGGGGATACCAGGCCTTACTATGAGTTTAGACTATAGCTCACATTGTAAGCCTGTCTATGCACGGAGTGGCGCCCCCAATCGCAGCAATAACAGAGTTGGAGATGGTGGGAGCATTTGAGCCCATGTTCCCCACAACCATTGCCGACAAAGGGCTTGCTTGCATAGGGGTGGTGGGTGAGTTTAGTTGGCAAACAGATAGCTTTAGACTGTATATGAGGTGTGCTCGCTGCGGCGTATCTAGAGTAGGATCCCTGTATAATCCCTATATACTCCCTACATCATCCCTGGCCGCTCCGGCCACTCCGCTGCGCCTGCTAGGTGAAACCTGCGTGATCCTGCGTGAAGACTTTGACGAGGTGAATTCTGCCATCCCTCATTTAGTATTGCAATTATTTTTACCATGTTTTTTCTTTTCTTATTGTTATGGTTGTCATTGTTATCGTACTTGTTATTGTTATTGTTATCCTCATTGTGATTGTTACTAGTTGTGTTCTTACTGCCTCTGCTCTTTACAAAGGTCTCAGCAGAGAATCCTTTGACACAGGCTATGTTGCGCCCAGAAAATTAATTCGTAATACATAATACAGCTTGTCTGACAAAGTGCTGGACCGCTTGAATTGGGAAACGTTTGGAGCAGGACTCTGCTGGCAGCATGGTGTAGCTACTGCAGCCGGCTTCTTCTTGGCGACCTTAAAGGTCCGCACGTGGCTCAAGATTCCCGCTGCAGACGGCTGATGGAATGAACTCTACTTAAAGATGCCCTGGAGTCAGGTAACTATCTTCCATCCCTTTTACTAAGCCTATGAACCTTCTGTGAATAGGTACCGCAATGCACTCATCTTAAAGTAGCTGCACATTCGAATGAGATGCCTTGTCTGAAGCTAATCTTTGAGCAGCACAGAGCTAAACATGAAGCTAAGAGACTTTTTCAGCTCATGCCCGGACTGAGTCGCCCGGTTTGGGGGTGGTGAGAGTTTGCTGTTTCTCCTGCCATTTCCGGTGGGAGAGGAGGCATTGAGTATAGCCAAGGGGGGGCAAGGCTGTAATGGGTACGACTGGAATTTCATGCGTTCAGACTGGTGCGACGTCAGAGCCCCGAGCTTTGCCAGTAAGCAGCAAGCCCAGAAACTAAATGCAAACTGAAGATCTACAAGCTTTCTTTTTCACTTTGCGCTGGAGAAGCTGTGTTGGATGGAAGGCATGGGCTGGTTGTACATCACGCGTAGGAGATTTTCTAAGGACAGCGTCGATTTGGAGCAGTCTGTTTCCAAACCGAAATTTCCAGCAGTCGGCAGAGGTGTTGGGAGCATTGCCTTGTGAGAACAGTAGGTTTGTAGCCCCAAAGATGGGCAGTTGTTGGTCACATGATTTTGCGTAAAAAACATGTAACAACCTTCTTGCCAGACTCACGTCTCCAGGAAAGACATCGCATGGCGTTGTGCAGCAATTCAGTCTGGGTTTCTACCAAGTAGAAGCACCAGGATCGCCTGTATCTCCAGGATTTCCGCAGGATGACATTTCACTCACAAGGTTGTGCACTGCATGCTGCTGAATGTGGGTGTGTGAATCTGATCAAGAAGGTGACCATTCCGCACAGCTACGAAATTGCGGGCTGCACATCTAGATAATGAACATTTTCCGCGGGGCTTGAAGAGGTGTAATTGATTTGTATGGTGCAAAAGCCTAAGAGATGTCAGTGGGGTGTTCACATTTATCCTGCGCAAACCTTCGATTTTGGTTGTAGATGATCATTCGCGCATAAGCAGCATGCAGTTGGCAAGGCCTCTTTACGAGGTCGTCGTCGAAACCATCTCTGGCAAAGAGAAGCGGCATGGCGCGGCTGCCACCATGCTTCCGAAAAAGCTGATGTCACACCCAACTGCAACTGCTTGTCACAGCTAAAGGGCTTCTTCCCGTGAGGGTCATGATTGCGACTCAACTTGACCTGAGGCTGATATGTCGGCTGCCAACACCCGAGAGCCTGGCAAAATTTATTGGGTTTTGGGACCAGCGCCAGGTTTTGGTGACGGATGTGGGTGCTCATCTTATGTCGCAGCCACCAGTCCTTGCACAGCTGAGTATGTAAACGTGCCGTGCTCAAAAGGGGCATGTCTCCCAACGCAAATTTGAAGGCTCAAGCGTCATTGAAAGTCTACTGCAAGATACTCCGAACCTCCGTCGACAGCAACGAGCTTCTGATTGTCAGGGGTTGGTGTGCACTCAGCCTGAAATTCACATCTTCGTGAAGCATGTTCATTCTTGAGGCAATTTCCTAAACCCTCAGGCTTGAGTCCCTAAAATCTGTAGTTCATCCAACACGGGCCGTTCCCATAGCAGGCAGAGAATACAATAGCCCGTATATGACTAACCCCCGTGTCCATTTCATCTTTCATGTGCGTTTCCATTTGATTCTCGATTATTGGGGTAATGTATTCCCCCCATATACCCCATATATCCCTACAGAGCTTCCCATGCCTACTGTGCTCGCAATGACATCCAAGCGAGTTGCCTGCAATGAGAACCAAGCGACGCGGCTGGTCCTGGAATTTCCTGACTGCCATCTCCTTGCCAGCCATCTTCTGCTCCCTGACTGCCCGCCAAAGCCTAGCGCCGCCTCAGCTTAGGCATATCTCCTAGCCTAGTTCTATACAGGACGCATGCAGAGAGTTGGAGCGCCATGGATGTCTAGGCTTTTATGCGATCTATCGCTACGGTCCTCTGAGCGAGTCTCCCAGGTGCACTTCAGCATGCCTGTCCTTGGAGTTGGATGTTTGCGATGAGCAACAGAGTACAGAAGAGCCAGACTCGACGGATGCCAGGACGACGCCGCAGCCAAGTCGACAAGACGATGAAGTGCCCTTCCTGGTGACTTCCAGTGGCCAGCCCAAGGAGTCAAGCAAGCTCATTAAAGATATTGGGCTTATATTGGGGTTATATACGGATAACGGAAAGGAAAATGGAAACTACTATTGAGGGTTTAGGGTTTAGGGTGTAGTCCCCCTTCTCATTAAAACTCTGATCTGCGTGGCTGTTAGGAAACTTGAGTTTACTTACCATGACGTGGATCTGTTGTAAATCACAAATTCCTTAGCATTGCAATTGGGTTTAAGTTCCTGAGCAGCAACCCAATAGTTGCTGAGCCAAGGGGAAGGGATCTCATTGAAGCGCTTCGCACTCAATGGTTTCCTGCCCATGAAGATATCCGAGCTGCCAAAATGGCATTGACACGGGGCAGGGGGTATTTCATGGATGACTGGCGCAATGCCGAAGCCGAACTAGCTGGCCAAGACGATGTTCGAAGAAGAAATTGAATGCCTTCCCAAGACAATTTTCGAACACGACTTTTTGGTGCATCCGCTGTAGCGCGAAGACGAGTTAACGAGCGAAGACGATTTTCGGACATCTTTGGCAGGAGGCAGAGCCGAATGCTGGCTGGAAGACGATTTTCGAAGATTATCAAACCCGTTTGGCAAAGACGAATTTGCTGGCGAAGACGATTTTGGGACCCTTTGTGCCGTAGTCGTCATGTTCGAGATTTCTGCTCCGTCCACCCCCCGCCCCCTCCTCCCTCCCCTCCAACTGTCTGCTGCAAACATCAAAATATCCGAAAATTGGCAAAAACGCACGGGGCCATAGGCGCCCGTCGCCGTTTTGTCCAACAAGCACCTAGTTTGCTGGGTAGCTAGGCGCAAGTCAATAAACCTCGACATGATCAGAAAGAGTACTTAAACAGGGGAAGTGTTCCTGCAGTGCAGGTAGAACCTGAGGGCTTACATATCATGTTTCCGGTCAAACCGAACAGCTTTTCTGACAGGGCACGAGGGTAAAGGCTCTTAATTTAAAGCGTCAGGAGCCACCCGCGACTCCAAGCATTGCGATTGTCGAAACTGGGCAGCCCGTTGATATCGACAAGTTCGAGGTGCCTCCAGGGCAGTGCCTTGAGAAGTACAGAGATTAGAATTGGCAACGTTGGATCGCAAGTGAAGACAAGACCAAACTTTGCGTAAGCAGCTGGACAGCCCTTCTCGAAGGCTCGTGAGCCCTCCCATTCGGAGCTCATTGAGCAACTTGGCGGCCTCAACAAAGATTTGCCCTTGTGTGCGGGAACAGTGAGGGCTGGACTGCTGCAATGAGCACGCAGGACTATGTCGCAGCCACTTCGGCTCTTAGGACTTCTGTATGAGCAGCAGTCCGCGCTGCGACTGTTGCGGCTTCGAATGCTATGGCCGCCCAAGACCCAAACCAGCTTGCAGTTGACCTGCCGGATCGACTTCATGTCGCCAGCGACAAGTGGCAGGTCGAAAGGGACAGCACCATGCAGTAGGTACTTACTTGTCTTGAGGGTCAGGCACGGGCAAAGCCTTGTTCTGGCAGCATCCGGCAACAAGTGTAGTCCTGTGTACCGTAATGCCTAGTGCGTGCCTTCAGACATGCTTCAACGTGGGGTATCTTTCCTGATGTTTCTGCAGGAACTTGCCACCACTGCCGACGCATGCAGGAGCAAGAGCCCAGCATTCGCAAGTGATTCGCAGGCATCAGCTGCCTTGAGCAGCTCGGGCGAGTTCTCTTCTAAAAGGTTGCGACGGAGGCAGGCAAGCATGGGAGGCGATTTCATAACTGCAGCCCCGACGAGCGCTGCTCTGCCTGATGCCAAGGCTTCGAGTGCAGGGGTCTTGCGGTAGGCTAGTTTGTTGTGTCCTGCGCGGCTGGAATTATAGCTAGAACGCAGAGCTGTCAGCGTAGAGATCTGCCTGGTACCTGGCCCGCTCAGTCAAACTGGAACCACAGGAGGATGGGGAAGATACTCGGTGCCCTGCTTTTTGCCAGGTCGGAAGCAACTCAGCTGACAGCAGTCCTCCATGTCGCTGCATTTGAAGGTTTTCAGCTAGGTCGCAGCGCCAAGCTGCACTGCACCTGGCACCTTATCTGCTGACCCCTTCAAGGGGTGTCACCGACAGTCTCCACGTTGTCGTGGGCAACTTACCTGCCTGACTTGTCTTGCTCTGGGCCCTGGGGTCGTGGGGCGCTCTGGCCTGGAGGTTTTGCTCTGAATTTAGAGTCCTGGACCGAAAGGACACACGTCGACTGGCCACAACATAAGGTAGAAGCAGTAAGATTCGAGCTCCCCAAGAAAGATGAAAGCTCTCTGAAGCCATGCTGAAGCCATGTTAGCCAAGCTCTCGGCCACTCCCAAATTCAACCTTGTTATGCTTTAGATGGATTTGGAATGGCTGCTTCAGCAAATCAACATGGTTGCCTGCCTCGCAAAGCCGGGAAAGCACTTGGTTTTGATGCGGGCAGGTCCGGCGTTGGGCTACCTACATCGTCGACAACAACTTCAACGCTAACAGTTTAGCAGTGGTTGTCCTTTTCGATGCCTACCTCACCGCATATGACATCGATGCCAGGGCTGCTGGACACGAGACATCCGCTTTCATCCGCACGTGTTCTGATCTTTGCCTCCTGCTCTACACGCTCGAGATACCCCTGTTGCTGTTTGTGCGCGGGCGCCGCATACTTAAAGACTGGATGGTGCTCCTGGACATTGAGCCTTGGATTGTGATTTAAGCATTTCGCCTCAGCATGTTGTGCATAGGTAGCACCAACATTTTGCCTGGCATGTTCGCTCAAAACTTGGAAGGTAATCATCCTGTGTGGATTTGCGGAATGGCTGTTGACCAACCTGGGAGATGCCTTGACGTCAAGGACGCACCTGACAGGCATGCAAGGCATGCACATCTCCATTGTATCCTCGTAAGGCATTCGTAAGGCATCAAGGTTGATATTGCAAGACTTGTGCATATGTAGCTTTTCCGCACACGACGCATCGCGAGGATCAACATAAACGTGCTCCGCCCGCTTCGCCTGGCAAGAATCATTCGCCTGATGCAGTTCTTGAGGAAGACTCGGTCGCTGAAGGAGTTGCGGAAGCTGGCCAGAGACGTTCAAAAGTTGTTTCAGTTGAGGTTGAACATGGGGATTGGGAAATGGTTGGGAAGCTGGAAGTCTTCCATTGGTCTTTTGCAACAAGAATCCTGTTTGGAATGAGTGCCGCAATGTTCGAATACCTCTCATCGCATGGTCTTAGAGCCTTCGGAGGTTTAACTGGTTTAACGTTTCTGATGGGCCAGGTAGCATCTGTCCCGTAGGAGGTATGAAAGCCTTGTGAAGGTGACGATGCTGGCAACATGCATGAAGACATTGGTATGGAGCTTCCTGTTTGGTTTTGTTGTGATGACAATGTGGGCTATGCTCATGGTCGAGATGGTCAACGACCTTATTCTTGACGTCGCTAGCCGCACAGACGTCTTCGACGAGTGTGGCGAGCAGTGTCTGCAAGCAGCATCCTCTGTCATGAACGCAAATCTCTTGCTCTTCAAAACAGTCGTAGCGGGAGACAGCTGGGGCCTGATTGCAGTGCCCGTCATACAGGTCGGACTTGTCAAACTTGCCTTTCACTGGCTTTTAGCTGCTCGTCATGTATGTGACGTGTGCAGCTGGCCAGGACTACCCGGCAACTGCCATCATTTTCGTCGGCTCCCTGTTAACACTGGACACTTGGCTTGGGGCTGTTGGGGATGCGTAGTGTGTGGGATGTCAGCGCAGGCTACACGCATGCAATCAACGGTCAGTGTGGCAGAGACCTGGTGAATCAAGCAAACGTGGTAACGCAAGATAAGCGAACTGTCGAGCCGCTGTCCATACTACAACGAACAGACATGCGATTCCTCCGATCTTCCATCAGGTCTTTGGAGTACTTCAGCTCATCGTCGCTGTTGATACTTGGCTCAGACCCATGCGCTGTAGGTTGTGCAGCTGCAGAAAGCATGATTGTCTTGTAAGTTGCAGAGGCAGCCCTTTGACGTTGCATCTGTGCATGGACTTTCGTGGGAATGCTCAGAGTGGTCAAATATAGGGATTATATTTACTTATAGCTTAGTAGGGAAAACGGAATAATATAGTATATAGGGATTATATAAGGATAATATCCCCTTAGGTTGTTGGAATTCTGCCGTTGAATTGGGGTGCCTGCGCTTTGATCGGCCCTAGAGCCTAAACCCTTAACCTATTCTTACAGGTTGTGAGTAGGGAATACGAGAGTATTATCCGTATATAATCCCTATGTACTATATTATTCCCATATTCCCTACTAGCCTAAGGAAATATTATCCCTGTATAATCCCTATATAACATATTCCCATATTCCTTACTAACCTATAAGGGAATAATCCCTATATAATCCCTATATAATATATTCCCATCTTCCCTACTGACCACCAGTAAGTATTGAGATGCTCATCTGAGGTGGTGGACACCTTCGCTGAGGTTCGTGAGAACGATGTTATCAATTTGGCGGAGGAGTCACTTGAAGAGCCATTTGGGGCAACCGCGCTTTTTTGATTATTTGCGATTGGTAGAAATTTAGATTAGACCCTGGACACCATAATAGCGTGACCGCCAACCCCGCACGGAAGCAAGTAAGTGAAGTTGAAGCGAGATGCGAGAAGTTCACGGCTACTAAAAGCAGGCGGCTTTCGCAGTGTACATGCAATCATCTAACACGTAGCCAGGAGGCCGTTGATGAAATGGAACTTGTGTCTCCATCTTTCGGAGCTCTTGAACTGGAGTGGTAGACAGAAGAGAGGACAGCATTGCTTTCCAATCCAGACCAGGCTAGAGCACAGCCTCAAGAACGATCGGAAATACCTGCAAAAGATTTTTGATCGTCTGGATGAAAGCGGGACTGGCGAGCTGACGCAGCTGGGTCAAGTTTTGCTGGTGTGCAAGTGCAAGTGGTGTGAGGTGTTCATTGTGCGGCAGTTCGTGAGCACACATTTTGATGCTCACCCAAGGCTGCAGAATCTGATGGATGGAGCTAGCTTCTCGGCTCAGCTGCTTGTAAGCCCCTGTAGCACTGTAGTGCATGACGGGCCGGGAGTGCGAGCAGGGAAGACCGCTGTCCAGATGGGAACGTTACAATAGTTCGCAGCGGGGCAGTCTGAGGATTCTTCAGCCTCGCATCTTGCATGCTGCCGTCGATAAAAAATATGGGTATATAGTACATAATGAGGCTCCTTATTATAGTAACTTAGCTTAAGTTCCTTAATAGCAACCAGTTGAATGCACGGAGGAAGAGATGCAGAGTTTCAAAGCCGCCTGCGTGTGATGGACATTGATGAGGCCCGCGCCCAGAGAAAAAAAACAAAGCTTTATAGATTAGGGTTTAAGTCCGGCTACCCGACCAAGCAATTGAGTAGGGTCTCTCATGAAACTGCCATCGCAACCGACCTAGTTGCGAACACATGTGAAATATGAACAATACTTGCAAGAAAAACTTTAAAACCCTATACAATCCCTCTACATTATAGCCCTTACTTTTATCAGCCATTATAAGTGATTCGGATAAATGAGTCGACTGCATCCAGTGCTGCTGTTGCCAGAGTGAGAGAGTGTAAGCAGCTGAGCGTCAGGACAGCCAGCCCAGAGCAAATGAAAGTTCTTAAGGAAGCCAACTTGAAGGGTTTAGGGTTTAGGGATAACTAGGCGGGCCCCAAAATAGACCCCAAAATACCATAATCCTTGCGTTTGGAACCGCGCAAATCGCACCGCCAATTCTGGGAGGAGGCTCCCGGGAGCGGGCCTTAGCATCGCAAAGTAATCGTAACGCGCATGAAGGAGCTGTTGTATTTGGCGAGATACAAGTGGAGAGATATGGTAGTTTCCGAAATTAGGGGGACCACCATGTAGAACCCAACATGCTGTAATCCTTATTATAGGGACCTTCCCACAAGTACCCATAATTTTGGGAAAGCTCCATATCATGCCCGCCTGCATACTTCCAGGGCCATTTGAGGGTCCTTTTCAAGCAGCCCCTATATTACATACATGTAGACCCCCCATATCATATGACCCCTATATTATAACCCCAAATATTATATGTAACCCGCATATTAGACATAACCCCTACATAATTACCCTTCATATTATACATAAACCCTTATACTATATATAAAGCCCCAAAGTAACCCTACACTCCTTTCAGAGTCCGTAAAGAGGTCGATCTCCAGCAGCTTTTCGAGATGATCGATGCCGATGGTTCAGGTGCTATTGAAGCTGCCGAGTTCATTGCACCACTGAGTCGCTGGGTCCGTGACTCCAAGCTACTTGTCAACTTTGGTTTGCTTGTGACTTGAGCTGATTTAAGCTGTCAAAAGGTGCCATGACCCCGAGCTAGATCAGAGATTTGATGGCATACCTCTGGGCTAGGAAGCCCTCAGAAGTTTGGAAGTTGTCGCAACCCTTCTCAAATGTGTAGTAGTCTAGGCCTCAGCTTGCAGAGTAAGTAAGGATTCTCTTATATGAGGAGTGGGCGTAGCCACTCTCTTGCTCGAATACTGCCTGATTGCTTGATGCATATTTGGAACGCAACAAGCATGCCACAAGGACTGCGCCTCGCTTCATCAAGTACAATCTCCAGCATCCTTGACCCAACATAGTATATAGGGGTGATATAGGGCTGATAAAAGGTAATATAGGGGTTATGTAGGGTAATATAGTGCTTATCATGTTGGTTACAATGCGGCTGTACTTATCCTACGTTTGGAGGTGCGTGGGTCAGAGTCTTGCGTGACAACATGTCAGGATGTAATTTGTTATCAGGGAGGAGCACTTTGCAAAAATTGCCTCATGTAGCTTTCTTTGCTGAAGTCCAGGCAAACAATGCAGACGCAAGAGGAGCTCCTAAAGCTGTCGCAATACAGCTGCTGAGCTTCGATTGGTGGGGCTAATGCCAAGTAGTCTTAAGTTCAAGTATTGATTCGCGGCGGCAGCACCATGCAAGCAACAGCGTTTGGCCGCAGCCCAAGCTTGAAAAGCCCTTCATGCTTTGCGACCTTTGCTGTCCGATTTGACGTCTCTCCTATAGCCAAAACCACAGCAGTCGCCAGAGCACTCCTTTGAGACACCTTGAAATCAGTAGAGCGGTACAGAAGTCATGCAGAGTTCGTTCGCCCAAGCGAAGCAACCGCCGGAACGATTCCATGCTTGCAAGACTTGGAGTTTTTGTCTTCTCCCTTTGCCATGTTATAGTGGTGTTTTTCCGAGGTTTTGCAATCATGAACCAGAGGATTCAGGAGTTGGAGAACATTCTCAAACGCAGACTCGATTCTCCTGGAGGCTATTCGGGCATCCACGAGCCTCTGGAGCCACACCAACCTGCTGAGCCGCTGGATGAGGACAGCAAACATCGTGCCGAGGCCGATGCGGAAGAGCTGGAAACTGCCTGGAAGGATTTGCCCGATCTGCAGGTTGGTGAAGATTTTAACCTCGAGCAGCCTAACGACAGCGCGCGAGATCTTCTACAGTTCTCTGGAGAAGGACCTCGGAAGAACAAGGATGCAGGGAGATTCAGAGTTGACCGTGCTGAATCACCCCAGACACCTGACCATCAGACGCCTGGACTCCGATCTGATGCATCTGCCTCTGAGCTCGGGCACGCGCTACGTGAGACGATGCATGCACTTGAGCGTTCTCTAGCGAGTGCCACAGAAGCTGCACTGCAGCAGTCGTTTGCGGTCGCGGAACGGGTTCTTCAAGATCACCTGGCCTTCCCATACGAGCGGCGTAGTCGCAGCCGGCGTCGTTCATCCAAACACGAGGCTGCAGGGAGCTCCTCCATCTCGCAGACTGTGTCCATGAAATCTGTAGAAGAGCTCTGGCCTGATTTGTCCACACGGGCTTCCAAAATGGAAGCCGCACGGCGTAAGAGCGTCACGGACAAGTTGTGGACAGACTTTTAACATTCACCGGATTCGTAGTGATCACGTCCGCAGAATATCCGCGGCGACATTTTCCAATAGCGCATGGCTGCAGTCAACTTGTTTTTTTGTGGAAGCAAGTTTCACCAGAAAATGTCAGGAGCACATCCCAGAAAGGTTGTGCTCCAGAGCGATTGGCAGTTGGGTGCCGTTTTTAAAAAGCCTGTTACACGCCTCAGGGTTTGGGCTCAGGGTGTAGTAACTTCCCCGCTCTGCAGCCATACTCATTAGTCCAGTGCTGGGCATTTACTACAAGCAGGTCTTTTTGAGCAAGGAACGGGTGGTCTCTGGCAGTAATTGTCTCTACAGTGAGACGACTTTAGCAATTGCAACTGCGTGCACCTCACATCCTTATGAGTACAAATAGTAGTACTAGTACGAATACGAATATGAGTATTAGTCCTATTAGTATTAGTCCTGATGCTAATACTAATTACTAATACTTCTACTAAACGTATTTGTATTAGTATTAGTATTTGTATTAGTACTAGTATTAGTACTAGTATTAGTATTCATGTAGGGTAGCGGGCCAGGAGCCCGATGCATGATTTAAGAGGCTCCCTGAGGTCCGGAGGCCGAGCAATGCATTCAAGGGTGTCTTGGGCCCACACGAAGCTGGGGTTGCTGGTAAGGAACCTGATTTGAGTTTCTATAGTGGGGGAATCATAGTGAGGGATCATCTCACTTTGGGCGACCTGTCCGTACTTCGTATCGTATCTCCAGGTATGGCTTCTATTTGCACGTGTATGCTGACCCGGCAGCAGTCATCTACCAGGCTTCGGTGAAAACATCGGCTGCGTTTTGGTAAGCGGAAGGGTTCTTGTTCTGAGCTTCTGGTGGTAGTAGTAGCAGTAGTAGTAGGAGTAGGAATAGGAGTAGGA